AATACCAAATTGTCACATCCCGGCCAGGGGGGACCACTTCTCAAGCCCACTCCACCACCGTAGCACAATATTGTCCGTTTTGGGCCCCGATCACGCCCTCACGGTTTTGTTTCTAGAAACTCACACGAGAGCTTCCCAGTGGGTCACCCATCATGGGAGTGCTCTCGCGCGCTACTCACTTAACTTCGGAGTTCCAATGGAACCCGAAGCCAGTGAGCTACCAAAAGGCCTCGTGCTAGGTAGGGATGGGAATATACATATAAGGATCACTCCCCTGGGCGATGTGGGATCTTACATTATATGGGTACATTCTTTTTTCTTTAATTTTAAAATGTATCCATGTCAAGTTTAATCGAAAAAATTTACTAATGTTATTAAGCCTAATATTTTTTTTTTTTTTTTGTGATTTTGAAGAATGTACCCATGTTTTGATACAATTAATTTTTTGGTTAATTTTGATGAATGTACCCATGTTTATACACACACAATAGTATATTTATATTTTAATATTTTTAATCCCACAAATTGTGTTTTTTTAATTTAAAATCTCATTTATATAAACAACTAAAATTTCCAATTTTTAATTTAAAAAAATATAGTAACGTACATAGAAATAAATTATCACATTGATTTTAGGGACCTTAATCAAAAATTAAAAACCAACAAGGTTTCAATCAAAGAATATTTATAACTAAGGACCGCATCCAAAGTTTCTCTAGAAATAATCTAGAGCTACAGTGTAAAACCAATTATTAAGACGACCATGTCACGAAAAAATGGAGAATAATAGATAGAAGAATTACAAAACAGTCAGACTTGTCAAGGTAGAGATATATTCAGGCATTTCTCCGGTTATATTGCAGCTCCTTAACATCCTGCATATATATACACTCGTATAAAAGTAAATAGGTACACAAATATATGTAAATACTAGATATACATCTCTTTGTAGATACATCACCTTGAAGAGGACTAATAAATTCAAGTGTAAAAGTAAAAGCATTGTATAAATCTGCATTTTAATTCGACAAAAAGAAATCTCCATTTTAAACTCAAATTAAAAGGAGTAGAAAAGTCAAAAGCCGGATATGATATATGGACATATTGGTTGGACATAAAATCAGCATATATCATATGAAGCTTCGACGACATCGGTTTTGTGAAAATAGTTAGGAACTATTTATGAATGGATTATGTTAGAGAGATCAAATTTCTAAATTAAATGATGTAGATGTTGATAATTGAATTATTATTTAAATGTTGATTAATGTATTTATTTCTTATTGATGATGTATTATTATCCTTTATGAAGAAACATGGTTTACCACTTGAATAAAATGACAACATCAACTTTTTTTTTTTCCGTACTTTAAAATCATAAAATTTAAGAAATAATTCTTGCAATTCAAATATCAAATTTGACGCATACTCATAATTAACTATAATGAAAATGCACGTGAAATATGAGTTCGACTAGCCTAAATGAGCTTCGAACTAGAATTTAAGGATGATTTTAAAATTAAACTCCAATCATGCTTCGGTCAAAGAATGAGGATACTCGAGCTAAAGAATAAATTAATTTGATCATATTTTCATATATTAGTAAAATATATTTTCTTTGGATTTTGTATATATGAAAGGGTTAAATGCACTCAATTCTATTGTTTTATTTTAGGCATTATGCAAAAAAGGAGTGGAAAACAAACTTTTCGGATGTCTAAAGTAATTCTAATGGAGCAAGAGTATACTTTTGTACCAAGACAAATGCATTACAACAAGAAGATAAGCGATATCCGTTTTAGAAATCAAATGGACATGGGAATGCTATCCAATAGATTTTAGGAGAGAACTTAATATCTAGCTTTTATTATTTCCGTTTATTTTTCCTTTCTTAAATAAAAACTTAAAGTCCATTAAGACTATGATTTTAATGGGGATTTAATTAGGATTTTCTTGCCGTTCCTGTGGGTTTTATAAGGAGATTCATTCTCCTTGTTTGATGGAGGAAGCCACCAAATAAACCAAACACATCATATTTCACAAAGTGGGGATGCGGCAAGGAAAGACAAGAGGAAGAGCTACTTTGGAGTTTTTCTTTGCTATGGCTACGATGTAGCCTGATCATGAATACTTAATTATCTTGTGACATTGTTATTATCAAGTTTTTATTCTATATTGAGTATCTTTTGCTAACCATAATATGCTTGATTTTTATTTAGATGCTTGATCACCATCTAGGTTTAGATTATAAGTTGATTTGATGCAAGTTAGAGTTGATGTCATACTTAACTTGGGTTTAGCTTCTTGCAAATGATACCATAAACACCTATTTGTAGATACCACGCAATTAGGGTTTATGTGGTTTTCCAACAATTTCCATAGAGCTTAATGGGTTCTTACTTGTTTAAATTAATCTAGATGTCATAAAGGGTTAACATGTAAAGATACGTTTGATGTCACCCGATGCCATGGCTGTTGAATAGCTTAGGGAAAGTCAATCATCAATATCGAGGAATTACTTGAGCATAACATATTAAGGGAATATCAATGATCAAGAAAAAATGGATTCTGTGAGGAAAGGGTTTCACCACATATACCCTGAAATTCGTCACATATGTTTATATGTAACGAATATCATGCATCACAAGGGGCGTCACCTATAGTTTACGTGACGAATTTTTCTTTTGTCACTTGTTAGCTCTATATGTGACCCAACTTTCCTCACACATTCTCAGCTCAAATTTCATAGTTGCTTGGAATGTGTGATCACTTATTCTTTCGTCACATACTATGTTAAAATCAATATAAATTTTGTATTGTTTTTCTCATTTAATATATTTTCATAATTTTGGCTGATAATCTATAATTAAAACTTTAATTTCAATGAACAAGCAAATGAATAATGTGAACTACATCATAATGACAATTTATAATTCAATAGAAGTAAATTTTAAATTAGAAACATGTTTGATAAACTAAACATGTTCAAAGAGTGCAAACGTCGCTTAGAAATAATAAACTAAAGATTAAAAAAACCTAAAGTAACCTAAGTTTTCCATTATCATAATGAAACCCAACTGGACCATGAAGACCCTTGCGCTGTTGCTACTGTTGGTTGGAGAGCACAAGTAACTAGGCCGATAAAAAATTCTCATAAACCTGCGGAGATACAAGATAAAAAAAATTGATCACTATACCGCATGCCATAATTAGCAAACTCACTTAATCTTATGTCCATAGTGCACATATTTTAGTTCGGTACAAAACACAATAAATAAAAATAGATTTCAGGATAATACTATCAAACTAAGTATTAGAGAGGTAGCAAAAAAGGTCCACCTGTGCTATTTGTCTGTCCCCGACTTGCAGCCAAATAAACCTTCACTGTGCGGTAACATCTTCATTCTCCTTTTGAAAATCCATTTGCTCTCGACTCTTCGTTATTTTTTATTTTTATTTTTATTTTGAAAGTGGGATCCAAAAGGACCATCAAAGAGGAACTTTTATTAAAACAAACACACACTTACAAACCAAATAAAGGCCCAATTTATTCCTACAAACAAACAAAGAACGGGCCTAAAAACAAAGAAAACATAGAAAATGAGCCCAACAACAGTGAAGCCCAAACAAAAACGAACAACTAAGAACCATCTACTTTGTTCTCCACCGTCGATCCGAGAACCAGCCAGCCACCCGATCCGTCGTCCATCGCCGAACTTTCCCTCCTCAGGCACCACTTGCACACATCCATGAACAAGAGACGGTCGACAAGAGAGAAGCCAACCATCGGAAAGAAGCTCCAAGAAAATCCTGAGCAACACCGCCAAAAACGGCAAACAACAAGGATAACGTGGTGTTGTGGGAGACAACCAAGCTAGATACAACATCGGAACTCTACACACGAACTCAACAGAAAACATGGCTGAAAAACAAAGCAAGGAAAGGCCATGAAAAGGGAGACCCACGGGGGTTGAAGAAATGGGAAGGCCAAAGAGAAAAATTGGAAGAAACATCAGCAGATGAAAGGGGAGAAGAAAAAAAAAAAACAATAACAGAAAGCCACCCACCGATCCTAGCCGCCACTAGGATCGACGGCAGAAAACAGAACCATGATTGGGATCACTCACACAAGAAGGTGAGAAGCACCCTCACATAGATTATGCGACGTTTTCATGACATGAAACCTCACCAACAACAATTGTAACTTGTTTATATTGATAAATTATGAACGACATTAATATTCTACCATCTAAAAAAATTTAGTTGTCTACATTTTTTGGACCTTTTATCTTTTTAAGTTTCACTCCACAGCTCAACAATTTCTGGCTTAGCCACTAACTTGTATGCTCAACAATTTCTGGGCTAGCCACTGACTTGTATGCTCTCGTTGCTCACTGTCTTGTATAAGGTTGTGGGTTTATAATTTTTTGTTGAATTAGTCTTTTTCATCTCTCTCAATTTCTCTGTCGTCTAGCTCTTCCCGCAGGTCGTGGACCATTGCCTTCACCTTTTCCGCTGGAAGGTACGTGCCGTATACCAAAATTTTCAACCTTCTGCTAAAACTCACACTCATTCTAATTTAAAGCTCGGTAAGTAGGGAGTAGGCATGCATTTGAGAAAAAAGATGACTGTATAACGCAGTTAAATTTTTCTTTTGCATAAAATGAAATATAAGAACTACAGAGCTTTGAAACACAGGTTCTCCAGAAATTTAAATTTTTCCACAGGCATTTTGTCCCAGTACCTTTCATTCACATATTCACCTCTTATATAGGTGTAAGCAGCACTGGCCCTCATCCCAACACCAGCAATCAAGCAACCCTCTAAAAATTTGTGTGGGTCGTGGCGCATAATTTCCCCGTTGTTACAGGTTCCAGGTTCACTTACATCAGCATTGACGACAAGATAGGAAGGACGGCCATCAGATACTTTTGGCATAAAAGACCATCTGAGAACAGATAGGAAACTAGCACCACCACGTCCGCGTAGGACAGACTTCTTCATTTCATTGACAATCCAATATCAGCACCTTTAATAACGAGATCTTTGGTTCGGTACCAGTCACCTCGTTTCATGGGACCTTTGAGAAATGGGTCGTGCAACCCATATAAGTTGGTGAAAATGCAGTCTTCATCTTTCAAACCACCAATATAGGCACCAGCACCAAAGTGGATATGAACATCAAAATCATAACCAGATCCACAAGCATTTTTCCCCAGTAATCCAGCTGCATAAGCTTCATTTCTAGCTTTTACAAGGTTTAACCGTTCATTCACATATTCACCTCTTATATAGATGTCAGCAGCACTGGCCCTCATCCCAACACCAGTGATCAAGCAACCCTCTAAAAGTTTGTGTGGGTCGTGGCTCATAATTTCCCTGTCCTTACAGGTTCCAGGTTTTCTTTCATCAGCATTGACGACAAGATAGGAAGGACGGCCATCAGATACTTTTGGCATAAAAAAACCATTTGAGACCAGACGGGAAACCAGCACCACCACGTCCACGTAGGTCAGACTTCTTCATTTCATTGACAATCCAATCGGCACCTTTAATAACTAGATCTTTGGTTCGGTACCGGTCACCTTGTTTCATGGCACCTTTGAGAAATGGGTAGTGCAACCCATATAAGTTGGTGAAAATCCAGTCTTCATCTTTCAAACCACCAAAATGAGTTTTTTTCGGGAGGTGGTGGAGGTGGAGGTTGAGCAGTAGTAGAGGGTGCACCCTGAGTGCTGAATGATCTAAAAGCTAGGCCCCACTTCGCACTATGATGACGAGCTAAAGCTGCTCTCTGCAGAGAAAGTATACCCTTGATGGGTGCCTACGAATTAACAAGAAGTCAGACTAGTTTATTTCTCCAAAGTGACCTATGCCTATAACATCTACTCTTCAGAGCTAACAAGAAAAACAAAATATAGTTGACATGAAACAACTTCACAGAAACATGCATGAAAAATCCAACATCAGAACCAGAACCATGGTGTAACATTGGTACTATAACAAAGCTGTGGCACATCCGCAACATTCATTTCTTAAAGATTCTACATTTCATGAAGAAGGCAATACAAGTACACGTGCTCTAAGATTGAAATGCAGCTTGTACAACCTCAATTCATCATTCCTAGAACATCTTAACCATATATGTGTTCCCTTTTAATTTGCCTACACCAAGCTACACGTGTTTGACCTGGAAGATAGTCTCATACAAAATTGAACCTAGACCTACATTGAATTAACTCAATAAGCCTAAGAGGACTCCCCGCTATATCCCCACACGGTTTTTATCCGAATAGAAACGGTAACGATGGAGGTGACAAATAATTTAGACCGAAAGACTCGCAATCCATTTGAAGCCTAAGGTCAGAACCTTTCTCCAATCAAGCCCAAGAAAAGACGGGTGGGGGTGGGCACGGTGTGGTTCCACCCCTAAACCGGAACCGAAACCAGAAAATATCAACAGTTCAGTTCGGTGAGTTTCTGCTTAAATTTATTACTAAAACTTTACGGTTCGATCTACACCGGTTCCAATTCAATTCTTGCCGGTTTACGGTTTCGAATACTAAATTATTTGAACACCAAATCATCATGCATTCAAACACATCTTCTAAAACTGATTATATAAAGTTGCATCCAAGTCAACAAAAAGAGACAACTAACAGAAAACCTAGCTGAGCTCCAATGCTAAACTTATTCTCCAAAGCTACGAGCTAGATGCCCCAAAACATCTCACTCAAACAATTTAACTATCTCATCTCATATGATCTCCTTCATGCATCAGTTAATTATATATCTTATTCGTTGAATTCAAAATTATATATCTTACAACTCAAACTAGTAAGGAAAGTGCTAAAAAATTAAAGTTACATACATACCATCACTAGTAAAAGGTGATAAGTTAGGACTGAATAGTTTATGAATCCCCAATGCTAGATGTGCCAACATTCCTTTTTTCTAGAACATATAAAAATCAAGAACTCATTAGAAAATAAGAAAGTAAGCATGCAACAAAACAAGAGAAAAAACAAAAACAAAGTAATGAAAAATAAATATTCATACATATTTCAAGTGCTTCATAAAACTCTATATCTTCCAAGATTGTCTCGTCGTCTAAAATTGAGATCTTATCTGACATAATGAAATAAAAAATAAAAATAAAAATAGAAAAGGAAAAAGATAAACCTACCATAACCTTCCAACCCCTGTTGAGCATCCATCTCTTGCAGGTTTAACACATAATGTTTCACAGTGAAGCTTTGAGGTCAATTCATGCCATAGATTTGGTATTGATGAACTAATGAGATCTTCTTTTCTCCTCACAGTGAAGATAGATTCTTGATTTTTGTCATCAGTTGTGCAACTGCAGAGCAACCAAAAAAACAAATTGTTAATTAACCTTCATATCATGTTAGAAGGGGTAAACATGCTATGAACGTACTAATTTCAGCACAGTTAAACACTTTATTTTTCCCCGGGCAATAGTGTTGTCAATTAGAGTGTTGTTTTTCCTTTAGCTTTAACTGGTGCTCCATCTTAGTTCTTGAAACTTTAGTTTGAGATAGGGTGTTATTCATCACCCTCGTGCTTTCATCAATATGACTTACATTTCACATTTTCGTTACAGGTAGCAGAGGGGCATTTTGCTTATGCCTTTCAAGGAGGTGAACCTCAAATAGATAAGCGAGTCTGGGACTCTGATGGATGATTGTTATATATTTATCTTGTCTATTTCTTTTGATGTTACAGAATTAAAGAAAAGTAAATTGTTTTTATTCCTAAAATTTTGAATTCTATTGCAACTGAAGCTTTCGCAGAAACTGAACCACATAACCAATTGAACCAACTAAACCACAAAGAAGAAGAGATTCCTAACAATTCTGAAATTTCAAAAGTGAAGACTCTACAACTGATTCCTAGCAATTTTTTTTCAAATACAAAATCTTTACCTAAAAAGACCTCCACTTCCTGAAATTTCAAAGGTGAAGACTCTACACTCCACCCCACACCAAAGAAGAAAACCATTTTGGCAGTACTCCAGCGCAACAAATGGCCCTAAATGAAAAGGAGGGGGGAGGGCAAATTAAATCCAATGACATTTCTATAGAATCTATGAACTTAAAACACCCTTATTGAACCCCACAGACCATCTATATACAAATGGCCCTAAATGCAGGACAAGAGTCACATGACTCAATTAGACAATGTTAATCACACATATATAGTGCAGGTAAAAAAGAATGGAAATCCAGTGGAACTCAACCATATTCCTAATCTCAATTTCAAATATAAGAAAGATAGAGAAAATACCAAGTAGGGAGGATGGAGAACAAAGAGTGTCGTTGCAGAAGCTGAGGTTGTGGGCTGCCTGAGGAATCGTTGATATTTTTGGATGAGAGGCCATGGTGAGGGTCGGATCTCAGATGTGCGAAATGGGGGAATGGGGATGTGAGAGGGCTGAGGCCGAGTGAGTGAGAGGAGGGTGAGGTGAGTGAGACTCTGAGTGAGTGAAACCTAATTGGGATGGGATCCCATGCTTTGCAACTCGGTGAAACTCATTTGTCAACCTATTATTCCATGACTTGTGTGTATATTAATTAATTGTATATATATATATATATATATATCAATGTTTTAAAGAACTCGCCTCGAGGCGCGCCTAGGGCGCCCTTGAGGCTGGGCGGAGAGGCAAACGCCTCAATTTTGCTGGAGTAGGCGAAATGCTTCGTCGGAGACGCCGAGGCGGCGGAGGCGCACCTCAAGGCGTCTGGACGCCTTGTCAAACCTTTTTTTTTAAAAAAAAAAAAACCATCCAAACCCAAAACGACGTCGTTTGGGTAAGGATTTTCAGTCTTCATACCATACCTTCGAATTCGATCCCATTTTTCTGCCTCTGCCTTTTGCCTTCTGCCTTGTTGCTTCTTCTTCTCCCGCGCGCCAGAAGCCTAGAGGCTCAGAACACTGGTCCAGTCGCCACGCCGCCACGCCGCCGTCATCTCAGCACCATCAGCCCAGCCCCAGCGCCGTCAGCAAGATCCCAAAGGTTAGGGTTTCTGAAATTAGGGATTTAGTTTTCTGGGGAAGGTTTTGTAACTTTTGCTATAGAGGGGTTAATAGTTTTCTGGGGATTTAGTTTTCTAGGGAAGGTTTTGCATTTTCTGGGGAAGGCTTTCTGCAAGAGAGAGACAGAGAGAGAGAGAGAAAGAAGCAGAGTAAAAAACAAGGGACAGCCCACGGTTTTATTTGTCTGTGTGGCTGCCTAAAATTGTTTTACATTTGCACTTATACCATAAATTTAATGCTCCTACCGGCTGCCATAAATTGTTGCCATAAATTGTGTCCGTGTGCCATAAATTGGCACTTAGATAAATTGTTAGAAATTGGCACTAAAAGGGTGTATAAATTAATTAATAAATTGTTAGAAATTGTTAGAAATTAGCACTAAAAGGGTATATAAATTAATTAATAAATTGTTAGAAATTGTTGGAAATTGTTGGTATATAAATTAATTAAACCACCAATGAACAGTTATCTTCAAGTGATAAAACAAGAGTTTGAAAACTGACCATAACCCTTCCTCACATATTCGTGCGGGTCTTCATCCCAAAGCCTTAGATCATTGTCATTGAAACACGTAAGGGGAAAAACAATCTCAAAAAGAAGAACATTAAGTCGAGGTTGCAGCAGATTATACATGCTATTCTTTGATATACTGCATATATAAACAAATGAAAGGAGGTTAGGCAAATCATAAGTTAATTAACACAAAAAAACAACATGGTTGTTTACAGAGACTTCATATTGAAGGTTGACAAATGCAATACAACAGAAACCACTCAACAACATAAGTTTAACAAATTTTTTTCTTTAGGGATTACAACATTATTGATTAGTCACATGAAATAAGTTCACTTCAAAAACAAGGATTTCTTTCTCAGGGGAACTACATGAAAAGTCAAGTACATTTAATAAATTGTTAGAAATTGTTGGAAATGGTATATAAATTAATTAATAAATTGTTGGTTCATTAATTGTATGCATGCATCTATTGTTTATTGTTTAGGGTATTGAAGAATATGGCTTCTTCTTCTAAGAAAGATTTTGCTTGGCAATGGACAAAAGATTTGGATCCTGTCACTAAGCACTTCTATTGTGTTTTTTGTAACCACAAATGCACAGGTTCAATTTCTAGATTCAAACATCACTTGGGTGGTGTAAGTTCGGGAGGAATGATAAGTTGTAAAAAAGTCCCACCCAATGTGAAGGAAGAATGTTTTGTTAATGTTATGGGAACTAAAGAAAAGAGGAAAGCTAGTCATGAGTTGTGTCGTGGTGGTGGAGAAGAAAGTGAAAGTGTCGATATGGGCATAACAAGGACAGCATATGTAAGTAGTGGGAGTGGGAGTGCGAGTGCCACACATTCACAACAAACCGGTTCTTTTCTACCACCTAGGTCAAGGGGACCACTTGATAGGTATGTTACATCGGAAGCTCGTCAAACCATGTTGAATACACCTTTCAAAAAAGAGGAAAGAAGACAAGCATCCCGAGCACTTGCCCAATGATTCTACACTAGTGCCATTCCATTCAATGCGGCAAACAATAAATATTATGTTAATGCAATGAAATTGGTGTCCAATTTTGGTCCCGGCTTTGATGCTCCTACAAGCCATGAATATAGAACTTGGATGCTCAAAGAAGAAGTTGATGATGTACAAAGTATGATGAAAGAACATCAAAAGGCTTGGAAGAGATATGGATGCACTATTATGTCGGATGGATGGTCGGATGGCAAAAGTAGATGTTTAATCAACTTTCTTGTCAATAGCCCTCAAGGTACTTGGTTCTTGAAATCGGTTGATGCATCGGCCTCTATTAAGAATGGAGATTTGTTGTATGGCTATTTGGATGACGTTATTCAAGAAATTAGGGAGGAGAATGTGGTTCAAGTTATATCTGACAATGCTTCGAACTACAAGAATGTCGGGGCAAAACTTATAGAGAGGAAAGAGAAGGTGTGGTGGACTCCATGTGCGGCTCATTGCATTGATTTGATGCTAGAAGATATTTCTAAGATGGCATAGTTTGATGACACACTCAAACGTGCTAGGTGTATTTCAAAGTATCTATATAGGCATCAATGGGTACTAGCTTTGATGAGAAAGTACACTAACAATTCGGAAATTCTTCGTCCGGCGGTCACTAGGTTTGCCACTTCTTTCCTTACACTACAAAGCTTACAAAAGCGAAAGGAAAATCTTGTTGCTTTGTTTACCTCTCAAGAATGGTAGGAAAGTACCTATGCAAAATCCCGTGAGGCAAAGTTGGCTAAGCATCATGTGTTATATGATCGTGAGTTTTGGGGTCAAGTTTCCTTTTGCATTAAGGGCGTTCTTCCTCTTGTTTGTGTTTTGAGAGAGGTTGATTCGGAGGAGAGACCCCCCATGGGTTTTATATATGAGTTGATGGATGCCGCAAAAGAGAAAATTGCAAGCAATCTTAACAAAGTGGAGAAAAAATATATGCCTATTTGAAGAAAGATAGATCGTAGATGGGACGATCAACTTCATCAACCACTACATGCGGCAAACTATTACTTAAACCCACAATTTCGATATGAGGATAATTTCTCAGATACTGATGAAGTGCAAAATGGGTTGTTTGCTTGCATGGATAGGATGCTTGGGAAAGGGAAAGAACGTGAAGAGGCCGATGTTCAATTAGATTTATTTACTAATAAGCGTGGTCCATTTGCGGATTCTATGGCTATGCAAACTAGGAAAAAGCGAACACCAAGTAAGATTTAATTAGTTAATTGTTAATATCTTTTTATCATTAACCTTTAAATTACTTACCTTATTAATATTATTTTTTTAGCGGCTTGGTGGGAGTGCTTTGGGCATAAAACACCCGAGTTAACGAAATTTGCTATCTGAGTTCTAAGCCTTACTTGTAGTGCATCGGGATGTGAGAGGAATTGGAGCACATTTTCAATGGTAAGTAAATATATTATTAGTATCTTAAGTGTCATTTTTGCTTAAAATGTTTAGACTTGAATAATAGAATTGATTTATTTGTAGATTCATACAAAAAGAAGGAATAGGCTTGAACACAAAAGGCTTAATGCTTTAGCCTATGTCAAGTACAATTTGGCTTTACAACAAAGAAGTAAGAAAAGGATGGAGAAGTATGATCCTATTGTTGTGGAAGAAATTCCCTCCGATGATGAATGGATAACAGAGATAGAAGATCTCGTTCTTCCTGAAGATCCTACATGGCTTGAGGATGAGTTATTGTATAATGTTGAGGCCGTAAGGAATGTGCCAACCCCGGTTTATGAAGGTGGCTCATACATTTGAAAGCCTAGAGAGTCTTCTCCTCCTCCTCCTCCTCGTGAGCCTACTTCTCCTCCTCGTGAGCCTACTCCTCCTCCTTCTCCTCGCGAGCCTACTCAACCTCAGGGTCCTATTACATACAAAAGAAAATGGGGTAATGAAGAATCCTCAAGTAGAACTAGAAGAAATGTAGAATATGATTCGGAAGATTCTTTTGATGAAATAATGAGATACCCGACAAGTTCATCTAGAGTTGGCAATGAAGAGGATGATGTTGCCTTTTATTTAGATGAAGAAGATTTAGATGAATGATTTATATCTTTGTTTGTATTTTGATTTATATGAAGATGATTTGGATGAATGATTGTTTTCTTTGTTTGTATTACCTTTTGAATGATGAATTTGGGTGATATTACCTTTGAATGATGAATTTAAATGATATTATCTTTTGAATGATTATGGATTTGAATGAAAAATTGAGAATGGATGTTTATTGTACATAGTATTATTTTTTATACAATTATATGTATAATATATAAAACATATATATATATAAAAATTAAATCCTGTAAGGCTTCGCCTCACGCCTCACGCCTAGGCTGGGCTTCGCCTCGAACGCCTCGCCCACGCCTCACACTTTTAATACATTGATATATATACGGTATATATACAATTAATTAATAGGTAAATTACACTTTACCACCTCAGGTTTGGGATCGATTTCAATTCCTTATAACATCTTTAAAACATTTCACTTTCATACCTCAAGTACTATTTTATTTCAATATAATACATTCGTTGCGTTTTCCATCCATTGATCTGTTAAGTGGTGACGTGGTTGCCACATTTATGCCACGTGGCAAAAAAAATTATTTTTTAAAATTTTTTCTAAAAAAATACCTTAATGTTCTAAATTAAAAATAAAAAAAAGTTAAAAATCCAAATCCCATCACCCTACCCCGCATCCCCAGAACCTTGAACAAGAAGAAAAAACCCAGATCCCCCTAAGAAACCCAAATCCTATATTCGCCCCCCCCCCCCCCGGGCCCCCCGTGAAACCCAGATGCCATATCCCCCCCCCCCCCCGGGTCAGAGCCTCATCATCTTCCATCCGTCTGCACCCCATCCTCCGACCCCGCCCATCCTCCACCTCCTCCTCCTCCGCACCCATCATTCACCTCCTCCGCTCACCCATCTTCCCCTTTCCCAACTCGAGCCCAACCTGCAACCTAAAAAGAAGGAAAAAAAAAAAAAAACCCAGCGCACCCACCCTCGCACGCATCCTCTTCCCTTCTCTACACACCCCACTCCTTATTGGGGAAGACGGGATCTAGGTTGTAGGAAAAGGAGATGGGTTTTTTTTTTTTTTCTTTTCTTTTCTGGGTTGCAGGTAGTGGGTGTAGAGGAAGAGGTGGAGGATTGGTGCACGGTGGGTTTGGGGAAGATGGGAGGGGGAAAAAAAGGGTGGGTTGCAAGGAAAGGGAGTTGGAGAAGATGAAGATGGGTTTTTTTTCTTTCTTTTCCTCTCCTCTTCTTATTCTTCTAGGTTGCAGGTTGGGTGGGTAAAGGGGTTGTGGGTTCAGCTTTTGTTTTTGGTTTTTTTTTTTTTTGTTTTTTTTTAATTTAGAAGTTTAAGGTTTTTTTAAAAAAAAAAAAAAAAAAATTTACCATGTGGCAGACATTTGGCAGCCACTTCAGCACTTAACGGATCAATAAATAAAAAATGTAACGGAAATATTATATTGAAATAAAATAGTACTTAGAGTATGAAAGTGAAATATTTTAAAGATGTTGTAAGGAATTGAAATCGACCCCAAACCTGAGGTGGTAAAGTGTAATTTACCCTTAATTAATTTATTATTAGTAAAACGACTAAGTTCGTTTCCAGTCGGTTCTTGTTCAATCGAAACCGAACCCAGAACTGGTTTAAACGGTTTGGACAGAAGTTGATTTTTCTAGTCAACATTGTTCTTTTCAGTTTTTTTTTCCATACCGTTTTACGGTTTGACGATTTTTATGCCCACCCCTAAAGACGGCTCAGCTAATGAGTGCTTCAAAATTCAATTTTCTATCCCTTTCCAGCTATTTTCCTCAATTTTCCCACCAAACAAACAGAAAAAGCAGAAAACCCCATATCAGATCTACTAAAACCAAACATTTCAGAACAAATTAACATATAAAACTATCACGGATTGACACAACATGAAAGCGGAGCTGAATCAAAGTTAAACCTAGGGCGGTGACTAACAAGCCAGAAAAAATACAATTTAAAATGTGGACGAATTGAGATGTCGGTCGGTTGGGTACCATGGCGGAGCTGCGGCGGACGAAACGCGATGCGTTGCCGAATCAGGTAATCGACGAGAACGATATTGGGGGAGAAGAAGCGAGAATGCTCAGGTGGGAAATGAAGGAGAGCTCCAGTTAGCGGACCTCATATGCGGAGAAGGGTAAAATGGACCATCTAAATAATAAAGATCAAGATTTAATGAGCTCCGTGATGAACGGTTGAGACTGAGCGAGTGTTTGTGTTGATCTTATATCACACATATGCTATTCTGTTTCTATTTGGTCCATGGATCAACGGTTGTGATGTGGACCTAGTTCTACGTCTTTTTCATCTTGAAATTTTGGGTTAAATTGGGTTGGGCTTTTAATTTTAGATGAATCATGGGGCCGTTTATTCGTGGGCTTTAGGTTGAATCGGTTGCATTTTTCATTAGTTTTCTAAAAAAACAAAAAAAGGTTCGGGAACCTCTACAGTTCAACCACAACTATCTCTACTCTCCTTGTCTACATCCGTATATTGTTTTTGCGATCATCCTCAAGTGCCAACTCTTGCCCATCCTGACCTTGTCGGGTTCTGTCGGCCTGAAGATCTCATTTTGGTGGTAAATCATGAACTCCTTGCCTGCAGCCATTCTCGAATCTCTCAACCATTTGCCGGCCGCTCAATGCTTTATGTTATGGTCTCTGTAAAAACGTCTGCAATCAAAATTCGACCCGCAGTGAGTAAGTCACAAGGTTTTTCTTTCATCTATACTCATATGCATCTCTCTTTCCCCATCCGAATTTGGATATGTGGTGTCCGGAATTTGTTTGTAGAACTGTTGGGGTGGGTTGGTGATAGGTCTTCGTAGTCTGGGACGTGGTGCGGTAGTCTGCGTTGGTTAAGGGTGGGGAGGGAAGTGTGCTTTGGGTGGTTAAATCGTGGGAGGTAGATGGGAGGGCTAGGGCAATTTCAGTACAGAAGTTTGATTTCGGATGTTGGCTTTCTTCCGGAATTCAATTACCATCTTCAAGTCAATATTTGGATTCCGGGATATCAGGAATCCGATTACTTATTTTGGGTGGAGCCCACTAATTTTTTTTATTCCCAAAATTTGGTAAACACCGGAATCATTAGGAGAGGAATTCAATTCCCCTTCTTCTACCTCCATTCCGGTTTGGTAAACACGCCCTTAGGTTTAACCCGACTTTGATACTAGAAAATAATTTAAAGTTCTACCATAAATAAATTGACAATATAATGAGTAGTTTAACACCTTATAAGTACATCTAAGGTCCCTTTAATTCCCCAGTGCAATCCACACTCTCAACACAATAAACTATTTGCATAATTATTGAATTTGTACATCAATTGACTGGTGCACCATTTGTCCTAATTTTCACTTAATGAACAAGAAAAATTCTACTTGTTTCAATAAGATAACATGTAAGCTTGATATACATTGTTATCTCATTTGTTGACAGCTTAAATTATGCGATCTAGTGGTTATTTGATACAACATATGTTTTAACAAAAAAAAAAATACAACATATGTTTGTCTCTCTTCAGGATAGACATCCACGTGAGAAAGGGTATAAACTCAATATACGTTGTTGGCAAGCCATATTGAGGTATAATGGTTGTCCAAACTTAGGGGCCGTTTGATAACATTTCTTTTTTTAGTTTTTAGTCACTTTTTTAAAAAAAAAAAAACCAAAATCTTATTTGCTAGTTTAAAAAAAAATGAAAACTGAAAACCAAAAAGTGAAAATTCAATACCATATTTGGAAAACTCAAGAAAATGGTTGAGTTTTTGGTTTTCGGTTTTGCTTTTATTAAAAATGAAAACTAGCCACTTAATACTACGATCTAGTGGTATTCCTCTTCACTTGTAAGTGAGAGGTCTTTAGTTGGATTCTCGCCAAATGCAAATTTAAACCATATTATTGCTAGCAAATTGTGAGGCTAAGCCCACTCTTTCATTTAATGTAGATAATATCGTTTGTTAATAAAATAAAATAAAAATGAAAACTAAATGTAGTTACCACCCAAGATTTCAATTTTCAGGTTTTCATAAAGTAAATGAAATGATTATTAAACGGTCTCTTAATTAATCACTACTTGGGATAAGAAGAAACTTTGGGCTCCCATTGGAGTTGGTTTTGTGAGCTAAAGCAGTCCACCACTTGTTTGGATCTTTTGTGAATTTGAAAAGTTTATTAAGTTCGCAAGGCTCAAGAAGATTCTTAGGAGTCATTTTATAACCATTCCATTTTCAATTTTTAGTTCAACGTTTTTAAAGCTGAAATCTTGTTTGGTAAGTATTTTCAATTTTCATTTGAAAACTAAAAGTAATTACCAAATAAGATTTCAAGTATAAAAAGTAAAAATTGAAAACGAAATAGTTGTCAAACATCCTCTTAAAATTTTATTAGAGAAAGGGTACAAATGATGATTCAAATATTTTGTAAGTGTAACATTATTCTTTAATAAGACATAAGGACGTTTAAGTACAAGCGGAATAGAGTTATGATATTTGATAATTTGTTTCTATACAACGATATTCTATATTTAACTACAGGGGAGTAATTGACAGTAACACAAATATTCAAAAAAACATTACACTTACACAAATATTCAAAACAAAATTACACACTTGACCAAATAAATATAGCAACTCATATATAGAGGGAAAGAGATCCTCCCTGGATCTCTTCCACCAAAGGTCACCGGATCAAGTGATCTGGACCCTTGAAATTTGATCTAACGGCTAAAATTATTATAACTTTTAAAGAGAGACTCTGTTTTTAGCCGCTAGATCAAATTTCAAGGTCCGGATCACTTGATTCAGGCCTTGGTGGAAGAGATCCAGTGAGGATCTCTTTCCTATATAGATATGCAAAATATTAAAATTACACACTTTACCAGATAAATTAACAAGTGTCTTACATGGAGAGATCCAAATATAAAAAATGTAGCTAGTAGGAAAATACAACTATTGTTCTAATAAATTTAAAACAAGAGGAATGGACGAGGTATATTGCTGATGATTAGCTCTCTCTCCATCTTTCTACTGATCTAAAAATAACATTAGAAGAGAAAATAATTAAAAAAGAATATTAATAAGATACGCATACGAAAAATAAAACATTTATATTACTCCAAAAAGCATAAATCACTAAAAAAAAGTGAGCAAATTCTATAAATCACTAATCAAGCTTAATAAAAAATTTCATATGAAAAGGTCTTAACACAAAATTATACTCGAAGTAAAAAATTAATACTCCATCTTCCTCACCTATTTTCTCTCCCTATACGTTCTTTCCCATCTATCGATTCTCTCCTGTATCTTTTCTCTCTTTATTCCTCTTTTTTATGAGAGATTTTTTCAAGTACACATTTTCAAAGAATACTTCACGTGTCAGAATATAAGTGAATGGAATAATATATTTTTTCGTGTCTCTTCACTTATATTATGACATGTGAAATACCCATTTAAAAACCGGGTCCTTCAAAAAAAAACTTTCATCTCTTCTTCCCAATCTATTCGTCTCCCTCCCGCTCTCTCTCGACCAGCGAGGATCTGCATGCACAAAGTTTGTCAAATTCCCTCCTCAATTAGAAGTTGTTTATTTAATCTAATGCATTGATATTGTGTTGTATTTGAGTTGATGGCCTTAACTGATTATTTTTATTTGTTTAGTTTGTATAATGGGAGATTTTGGATACGGTCCCTATTCATGAATATTCTTTGACTGAAACATTGTTGGTTTTCAATTTTTCATCAAAGTCCCTGAAATTAATGTGATAATTTATTTCTATGTATGTTACTATATTTTTTAAATTAAAAATTGAAATGTATAGTTGTTTATATTAATGAGATTTTAAATAAAAACCATAATTTGTGGGATTAAAAAGATTCAAATATAAATATACTATAGTGTGTGTGTGTGTGTGTGTGTGTGTATAAACATGGCTACATTCATCAAAATTAACCAAGAAATTATTGTACCAAAACATGGGTACATTCTTCAAAATCACAAAAAAATAAAAATAAAAATAAAAAATAAAAGAAGAAGAAGAAGAAGAAGATATTAGGCTTAATAGCATTAGTAAATTTCTTCGGTTAAACTTGACATGGATACATTCTCAAATCAAAGAAAAAAGAATGTACCCTTATAAGTTTAAAAATGGATTAGAAAAAAAAAATTGAATAGATTTTATATTAAAAAAAAGGGTATATTTTACATATAACAAATTGGTATATTTAAGAATGAGTACATTTTAAGATTAAAAATTTGAAAAAATTACATGAATGGGTACATATAAGATTAAAAAATTGAAAACATTTTTTAAAAAAGCTAATGGGTACAAACTTATTCTAATTTATATTGGAAATGTTTTGAATTGAAAATTAGTTAGGAGTTTAATAAATGTGTGAGTGTTAAAATTTTAAATCAATTATTAATTTTTATTTTAAAAAATTATGTAAGTGACATGTAAATTCATTATTACATTAATACTAGGGACTTAGATCAAAATCTGAAAACTAATAAGATTTCAGTCAAGATGAACATTAGTAACTACCAGATACTAATTTTTCCTTGTATAATATTAGGTGGTTATAGTTTCGGTCCTCAGATGAAGATGAGTTTTTTTTTATTGGCCCAAAGTAAATGAAGAGGATATCTCGCGACTTGGTTAATTTAGTTGTAAATTGCCTAATTTTCATGTTGCCAATTGTAGCAATTTGTAATTTTCAGTGTATTTGTAATTGAGCAAAATCGACAACTTGTATATTATATATGCGCAAATCATAGTTAGTACAATATGGAAGACATATTGTGTCCATGTATTATTTAGTTTTTTTTTTTTTTAAGTGTGTATAGGTGTATGATATGTAAATTAATAATTTTGAGGCCAGAAATATACTCTAAAAAAACAATAAACATGAATTAATTAAATGATTTTTCTATAAAATAATTATAAGAAGAAAGCGTAAATCAATTAGAATGATTTTTCTTCAAAAAAAAAAATAAATAAATAAGTTAACATACACACATAAGTCAAGAAATGGTAATTTT